GAGGAGATGAGAAAATGAGAAGATTAAAACCCAAGCCGACAAACAAGGATCTAGGGGAAAAAGATGAATAATGAAAGAGGTTGGAGATGAAAAGTAAAGGGTAACAAAAGGAGGAAGGAAAGAAAGTGATTTGTGGTTGAAGATGAGGGTAAAAACATAATTTTATCTCTATATTTTAACCTTTAATAATTTTATCTTTATAATTCATCTCATTGTCAATCCAACGTGTCAAGATATTTAACTTGTCATCTTTTTCTTGTCAAGTAACGGTGTCAAGTAACGGTCCACGTAAGTTGATTTTTAACGAAAGGATCAAGTTGGGGTTAAAATAGTAAATAGTAAGAATTAAAGCAAAGATTTTTTCAATTCAAGGACCAAATTGAGGGTTTGTACAATGGTTGAGGGACCAAAATAGGATTTTAACCTCTAACAAATAATTAATAAAAAAAAAGATTAATGTCTATTAATTCTAACTCTAAAAAAATTAGAGTTTTAATATATATTTGGAAACTAAAATATTAATTTAAATTTTAAAATTTTAATCAATTTTTAAATTTAAATATTAATATTAAATAAAATAAATTTTTAAATTTTAAATTAAATTTTAACTAAATAAAATAAACATAATGAAAAATTAAAATTTAAAATTTTTTATTCAAGTTGATGTATATATTTAATAAAATAATATTAAACTAAATTCCCCAACATAAATCATGAAATATCCGACGAAAGTGACAACTAAGGCCAAATGATACACAACTAGGCTCTAGGCATTGTTTACTTCAAAAGATTAAAAATAAAAATATCATTAAAAATGAGAGTTTGACAATACTGCTCTATTGTCCCTTCCAAAACAGAGACAATTTTTTTCTTTAAAAAATAAAATTTGCCATGGAAGTCGTAATAATTTAATTCCTTTGAAGAGCCTTGCAAACAGTCACTCACTCTTTCTTCATTTTCATCTCTTTCTACTGTATCCCCAACTTCCGACTCTGCCGATTTCCGTTCCAGCAACCGTCTCCAATTCGCCGCCGGAATAGTGCCACAGCGGTACCAGTAAGGTGACCTCCCTCACTGTTTCTCGATTGCTACTTTCTCTCTCAGATCTACTAGTTGTTGACTATGCATGTCTTTTTTAAGTTTTCTTTTGTCCAAACCGTTTGTTTGCCCGTGGCCACAAAAAAAAAAAAAAAGAAAGAAAAAAGAACCCGTTTGTTTGTCAAGAAAATGAAGGAAAAGGGAGAGATGGAGTGTTTTCCCAAACAGACTCTAGAAATTTGTCCAATTTTCAAAATTTTGTGAACCAGTCAATCTGATTTTGACCGAGTTTAAGAGTTCACTCCTTGTTAATGAGATTCGGATTGCGGTTCAACTCGTTTTTGTTAAATTATATTGCACGATTTTACAATTAAACTTGCGATTTTACTTGCTTAAAACTCCATTTCGGTATTCTGTTCTAATAAAAAGGTTTTTTTTTTTTCCCTCTTTTACCGAAGAAAACTCTTTTTTAGTCCTAAAATTTATTATTTTGCTTTTGCCCTTTTTAATTTTTTTTAAACACGCGTAATATGGTGTATGTTACATAATAGAAAATTTTAAAATATAGAGAGTAAAAAGAAATTAAAAAAAAAGTTTTTAATTTTGGTCTTTTTATTTAAAAAATCTCTTTTAATTTTTTTATTTTAAAATTTTTATTATTTAATATGTTATTTATGTAAAAAAATAAGAAATTTTTTTAAAAAAAAAAGCATAATAAACTTTAAGAATTAAAAACAAATTTTTTAAGCGAAGGGATTAAAAAAATTTTGTTAAAATAAAAGAACAAAAATGGGGTTTTAAGTTTTAACTATTTTCCTA